AAAGTTGGGCCACTTGAGGCCACATAAAAACAAGGAGAGAGTAGATATACAGCGCTTCAAAAGACACGTGTTCAAAGGTGAGACGTTGTAATGCAGACACTCTTCTAACAATGAATGATTAAATGCAGAATGTCCGCCGGTCATGACCCAGTGACCTGGAGCAGAGTTGGAATCCATCTACCAACAGGCTTCGTGAACTCTGAGGTCAGGAATCTAGTAAGGCTGCACTAGTGTCTTCTCTCTCGCTTCTGCACATGTAGTCATTTTGGCTGCCTGGCATCTGAATACCCTTCCTAGTTCTGGGTAAGCCTTTGGGGTATCGTTGACTTACAATTATTATATTAGTTTCAGGTGTGCAATATAGTGATCTGATATTTTTACAGATTATACTGTGTTTATAGTTATTATAAAATATTGGCTATTTCCCCCGTGCTGTACAATATATCCTTGTAGTTTATTTATTTTATACATAGTAGTTTGTACCTCTTCATCCCCTACCCCTATCTTGTCCCTACCTCGTTCTATCTCCCCACTGGTAAACACTGGTTTGCTCTATCTGTGAGTCTGTTTCTGTTTTGTTATATTCATCCATTTGTTTTGCTTTTTAGATTCTACATAAAAATGATATCATACACTATTTGTCTTTCTCTGTCTGACTACTTCACAAAGCATAATATCCTCCAGGTCCATCCATGTTGTTGCACATGGCAAAATTTCGTTCTTTTTTGTGGCTGGGTAGTATTCCATTGTATAGATACACCATATCTTCTTTATCCATTCATCTGCTGATGGACACGTAGGTTGCTTTCATATCTTGGCTATTGTAAATAATGCTGCTATGAACACTGGTGTGCATATATCTCTTCAAATTAATGTTTTTGTTTTCTGTGGGTAAATGTTCAGGAGTAGAATTGCTGGATCATAAGGTTCTATTTTCTATTTTCAGTTTTTTGAGGAACCTCTGTACTGTGGCAGCACCAATTTACACTCCCGTTAACAGTGCACAAGAGTTTCTTTTTCTCCACATCCTCACCAGCATTTCTTAGTTGTGGTCTTTTTGGCAATGGCCATTCTGACAGATGTGAGGTGATATCTCACTGTGGTTTTGATTTCCATCTCCCTAATGATTAGTGATGTTGAGCATCTTTTCAAGCCTCTGGTGGCCAGATGTATGTCTTCTTTTGAAAAATATCTGTTCAGGTCTTCTACCTATTTTTCTAATTAGGTTGCCAGTTGATTTTTTTAAATAATAGCTTTATTGAGATGTAATTAACATACCATAAAATTCACCCCTTTAAACTGCTTTTTTAGCATATTCACAGAGTTGTGAAACCACCACCACAATCAATTTTAGAACATTTTTTCACCTAAAAAAGAAACCCTCTACCCATTTGCTGTTGTTTTTTCCTTTCCCTGTCCCCCAGCCCCAGACAACCAAGAATCTATTTCCTATTTCTATGGATTTGCTTATTCTGGACATTTCACATAAAAGGAATCATACAGTGTATGTCCTTTTGTGTCTGGCTTCTTTTATTTGGCACATTTTCAAGTTTCATCCATGTTGTAGCATGTATTAATACTTCATTTTTAATGGCTGAATAATATTCCATTATATGAATTTAACCACATTTTGGTCATCTATGCATTCATTGATGGGTGTTGGTTTTTTCCCACTTTTTTGGCTATTGTGAATAATGTTGCTCTGATGATTAGTACACAGGATTTTGTGCAGATGAATGTTTTCATTCCTCTTGGTTACATACTTGGGAGAGGAACTGCTGGGTCATATAGTAACTCTATGTTTAACATTTTGAAGAACTGCCAGACTGTTTTCCAAAGCAGCTGCACCATTTTACATTCCCGCCAGCAATGTAATTAAGGTTCCAATTTCTCCACATCTTCAACCAACACTTGTTATTGTCTGTCTTTTTAATTTTAGCCTTGTGGAGGTGAAGGAGTATCTCATATCTCACTGTGGTTTTGATTTTTGACTTTGATTTTTGAGGGCAGGTAGGGAGGGACAGTGGAGAAATGACTCACAGCCGAAGTGGCCACTGGGGAGTCTGAGAGGACTGGAGACACTGAGCAACCAGTGGTGGCAGTGCCACTGGCATCCTGGCTGCTGATGGTTCCTGGTCACTTTCACAGCTTGCTTCTGTAGTCACTCCACTGAGTCTGTGAGTTACCTGACAGTCTTCAAACAAAGTCCCTTTCCACTGAAACTAACCAGAACCAATTTCCATTGCTGCAAACCAAAGACTATGATTCATACCATATTTAAGCTGCCTTTTACTCTTTATACTTATTTATACTTCCTGAATGCCTTCTCTTTCATTGAAGTCCTTCACCACTCCCCAAACTACTGTAAGTCTCCTCACTGTAGTCCCTTTCCCCAGCCAAGCCCATCACCCAGTCCTATGCCTCTGAGATGAAAATTTGATCCACCTCTCCCCTTTCCCTTTAATCAAGTTTAACCTCCTTGATTTAGCACACAAGGCCTTCCATAATGTGACCACTGTCTTCTCTGGATTGCTGTCCTGCCATTGCCCCCGGGCAGCCCTCAGATGGGCTTAGTGTGCCCCATGTATGTAATTTCTCCTCCACTTTCTCTTAACTCCTCCTCCTTTCTGCCCCATCTGCTCTGAATGCCCCTATGTCATACCGTTGACATGTCTGTTTTCCTCACTACAACCTTCAAAAGGGCAAGAACCATGCTTCCTGCCACATTGTATCTTAGGGCTGAGCATGATGCCAGGCACACCCAGGGAGTCAGAGGGTCTGGCACAAGTTACTGCCCTTCTGTCATCACTCCTAGACCAGTGAAAAGGCAGAGGTGACCCACAGGACACTGAGGAATGACTAAGGGGTGAGCATCTGTTGAAGCTTCACTGTGTGCCGGGCTGCCTTCGAGATACTACCAGCGACTCAGGGGTGTGTAGTTAAGCGTGATTGTGCATGAAGGGGTAACAAGATCATGGAGAAAACTGTGGTTACATCTTTAAAATGTTGAGGGGAGAGTATAGCTCAGTGGTAGAGCGCGTGTTTAGCATGCACAAGGTCCTGGATTCAATCCCCAGTATCTCCATTAAAGTACTTAAATAAATAAAAAACCTAATTACATCCCCCCCAGAAAAAAATTTTAAACAAGAAATTAATAATAAAACATTGAAATCCCTGGAAAACTAGGAAGGATGAAGAGGTGCTAACTCAGGACTTAAGGCTTATGGGGCTGAAACCCACCGTGAGCTTTTCCAACTTTGGCTAGTGTCACATGCGAGAACATGCCAACTTCAGGGCTGGCTCCTCATGTGACTTACCCCTGGTCTTTCCTGGGATCCTCTGAGTGACAGCCTATCCCACATCAAGACTCCTTGAAAGTGGAGAGATGAGAATGGCCAGATGGTCCACTTGAGAGACTCGGCCAGCCTCCATGCCTCCTGCCTATTACCCACGTGAAAACATTCCTCTTTGGACTCACAGGGAAAAAGCAGGCAATGGGAGTGCTGAAGGAGTCCCGGGGACCACTCTGGACTCCCAAGGACCCCGCCTTGAGCCTACACCCCTCTCCCTGGTCTGACCATATAGACCTTTGGTTCGCGGAATGTGTCTGGCCTCGGTGCACACTGTCCACTTAGTTTAGAATGTTCTCCCCTCTCTTTCCGTGATTGGCTCTTAACTTAAAAGCCCCATCTTCAGAGAGACTGTCCCTGATCACCTTAACTGAAACACATTCTATCTCATAGGCTCGGGGCTCTTCTTTTACGACTGAGCACAGTTTGCAAAAACATAGTCATGTGTTCGTTTAACACGCGATTCCCCAAAGACAAGGATGGTGCCTGTGTCTTGCCCACCACTGGCCACTCAGCCCAACACAGTGCTGAATTTGTGGATGGATGGATGAATAAAGCCCATCTATGAAGAAATCAGACGCACACAGAGGAGAAGCTGGGCGGAGGCCAGCCCCTTAGATGGGAGCTACACCAGATGAGCTCTGTCTGTATCAGAGCCGGCATCCACAACACCACCCACTGCCCCCTCCCCCGGGATGGACACTCTGCGGGGACCCGCACGGCACAGCACACACTTCTGTGTTTTCTGAGGTGCTGGCAAGAAGCACGCAGTGGCTTTTGTAACTTGACTTGCCTCCTCCCAAAGGAAAAACCCCATTTGCTTTAAAGAGCAAGATAGACAAAAATAAATACCACGTTTACATTGAGGTGCTTTGTGACTTCTGATCAATAAAACGAGAGGACATGAGGGTGCGTGGCTGAACACGATGGTTCATTCCCTTTCATGGGGGCAGCCTCGGCACTGAGTTCCCCCATTCACGGCTGGTGATTTCAACCTATGGAGAAAGGCGGGGGTGCCGACAGTGCATAGTCATCTTCTGGGTCGATGCCTCTCGCTTGGGCATCGACTGATACCCACTGTTATCGAGAGAGGCAAGAGGCTTGCCTTGGGCATGAGTGGCTCAGGAAACATGGTAAAGAACCCAGCTGCTCACTGTCTCGCAAGGCTGGGCCCTACAGTCAGTATTCTACTGCCGTGGAAGAATGCTGCATTGACTTGGGGTGTATGTGTGTATGTGTAATGTTCCTTCTAGCCAAGCCAGCAGAGGGTAGTTACATGACACATGAGGAGGGTGGCTACTTACTATTGATGCCCAGTACCCTGTGTGTATCCATCACAGTCAATTTTCAGCAGCTGCCCGTAGGGGAACCTCTGTCGGCCAAGTCCCTCAAGAACACAGTCAGGCTGAGGCAGCCATGGCTTGAGGACACAGATTTTTTTTTGGAAAAAAGACCCTTCTGCCTGCATTTGTTGCACCCTTTTGCCGGGCAGCACGGCAGAGGGGTGGTTTCGCAGCCAACAGATGGCCTGGGGGGTCACCCAGGAGCAGCGGCTCTGACCAGCTGCAGGAGCCTTTGCTCAAGAGCTGAGAGGCACGGGGCAGATGGTGGAACGATCCAGGGGTGACTGAGACAGAAAAGAGGTACAGGTTTCATTTTTCAATAAAGGTTTAATGGTGAAGTATTTCAGGTTTGCGGGAGAACTGCAAAGTTAGGACGCAGAGTTCCCACAGACCTGCTTCCCTCGTGTACACGTTCACGTAAACAAGATACAAGAAATTGACTGTGGTGCAGTGACGTCAGTGAAGTCCCAGACGTCCTCTGGGTGTCACTGGTTCATCTTAATGTCCTCCTTCTGTTCCAGTAACCCAGGATCTGGCTTCATTCACATTTGGTCATCGCGTCCCCCGAGTCTCCTCCTTAGCAATGGTTCCTCAGTCTTCTCTCCTTTGTCATGACCCGGGCATTTTTGAAGAGTACTAGTCACGTGGTTTGTACACTTTCCTTGCATTTGTAAAACTCTGTTGGAAAGGGTCATCCTGGCCTAAGAGGTGGAGCAACCTGCAGTGGGTAGGATGCATCCGGGCTGCCGTCTCTGTGCGGCCCACAAGTTAAGAATGGCTTTCATGTTTTTAAATGGTTGGAAAAAAAAATCAGAAGATCATCTCATGATATGTGGAAATTGTTGTGAAATCCAAATTAATTTCAGTATCCATAAATAAAGTTTGATTGGAAATGGGGCCACGCTCATTCTCTCCTGGACCAGAGTGTGCAGGTGCATTTGCGCTCCCACGGCCAGGGTGGGGCATCCCTACAGCCCACTCAGCCCACGGGGCTCCACTGTTTCTTCTCTGGCCCTTTCCAGAGAGAGTCTGCTGACCCTGCTGTAGACGGCCCGTGAGGACCGGATTCACTTTGATTCAAAAGCAAAGTCAGCTATTAAAAGAGCACCGAAGCTTCAAGTTCATTCATTCAATCATCCCACAAATATTTATTGAGGGCCCTTTGTCAAATCCAGCCGAGACCCCAACTGAGCAAGTGTTAACTGACACGAAAACCCTGGAGTTGGGAGAGGTTCAATCTCATCAGACGTCTCCCCGAGCCTCAGGCACGGTTCCTGCCTGCAGTAGGAGTAGCTGCTTTCCTATTTTGAGCCCTACCTTATGCCAGGAACGCTTTATTTGCACTGTCTCTTTTAATCCTCGTCACCACCCCAGGAGCTGTTCCAGGAGGAAACTGAGGTTTAAGAGATTAGCCAGACCCAAGGGCACACAGGGAGCCACTCAGTGCAGCGGCAGAATCCTGAGCCCAGTCCAGCCCAGCACAGCCCATGGGCTTCCAAGGCCCTGCTGTGCAAACAAGATGCTCACCTCAGGCAGGAGGGGCCTGGGGGTCTGGAGGAGAGAGTGGGGGTTGGGGGGGCTCTTAGTGGCTCCTGGATGACCACTGCTATTCCTCGTGCTCCTGAACTCTAGAAGCAACAGGCCAGGATGCAGAGGTCGGTAGCCAGAGCCCCCACATGAAATACACTCTTTTTTTCAAAAGAACATCACTCTGTGCTTTTTGGTGGTCAGTGTTGTGTCCCTGCATCTTGATGTACAAGCCCAATGGGTACTGTCTTCTGTCCCTCCTTCCTCCTTTTCTGGTGTCGCTGCTCCGCCACCCACACTGCTGGGAGAGTCTGAGCTCTCTGCTCACTTGGCAGGAAGGCCGCCCTCAGCCTCCTCCCCTGGACCGGGGCGCTGGGGCCCTTCCTCTCCACCACTCGTGTGGCCAGCAGGCGCACCTGCCCTGAGCGGGAGGTGAAGATGCCCTCCTGGGGCTGACAGGTGCACAGGGGCCGCTCTCCGCCCTGGTCAGAGAAGCCGAGAGACACCCCAACAGGAGGAGCATCTGCAGGCAGGGTGAGAAGGGCCCCCTGGCCAGGCTGGGCTGGGAGCAGGCCGGGGATGCTGTTGACACAGATCCTGTTGTCCCTTGCTATTTTGGGCCTTCCTGGATGAACGGCCATAACCAGGGCCTCCCCCTCCCCATACTGACTTAGAGGGCCGCAGGAAGCCAGCTCAGCACAGAGGGAGCAGCTCAGCCTGGGCCCAACAGCGGCTCCTGCGCACTGGCCCAGCCGCAGCGGGGCCAACTGGTCACTGGCAGGTTCTGCTCCAGACAATTACTCCAAAAAATGTCGATAAGAACCCAAATAGAGAGAGCCGGACTTAATGAGAGAAGCCCCTGGTTGGTGTCCAGACTGCATCTAATTCCGAGTTACTTTTTGAAGAGAACAAGTCATTTGAGAATTTTCTATTCCCTAAAAGGTCCCCAGGAACTTTCTAACTGGCTTGGTAATCGCGTCTCCTAAGCCCTTAGCAGCTGCAAAGTTGATTCATAAAGCTTGTTCTTCTTTTCGTGTTTTTAAAAAAGAACAAAATGTAAACCAGGTTGCAAAGCCCTGGCAACACAACCTGATGAGCGGGGGCCTGCGGAAACTCCCCCACCGTCCGTCCCGCGGCCGCGGCGACACTGCCCGGCCAGGGCAGGTTGCTCCTGACTCACGGAGGACGCCGCGCAGGGGGGCTCTGTGCCTGGGGCTGTTCTGCTTCTCACGTGGACCTCAGCTCCCGAGGAGGGAGGACCTTTCCAGGGATCAGAAACATTTCTCTCCAATGCTGGTTTCTCGGGAAGAGCTGGTTCAGGTGGGCGGGCATGTTGGACTGAGTGTGCGTGGAGAATAACCTTTGCCACATTCATCAGAATGAGACCTCATAACAGATGTCAAAACTCGTAAAATCAGACCATAACTTTCATCTGTTTACAAGACGATGATTCTCTGTTTACAAGGTCGCAACATCACGTCCCCGAAACATCCCCAGAGCCGGAACCGGCCCATTTCTACCTACTGTGGTGTTGAAGCCCAGCGGAATCTGAGGCAGCCGTGGTTTGTGCGGTGCGTGTGCGTGTGGGAGAGGCAGGTGCTCAGGCCTGGCGCGTTGTGCCCCAGAGAGGCTGGCCCTGTGGTTTCTGGTCCAGGTGCAGCGCACACAGGGTGCCGGGGGCGCTTTTTTGCATCCTCTCTGGCAGTTGCCCCCGGGGTTAAGCATGGCCAGTGATGCTCTTCCTAACGGCCACACACAACTGCTTGGGTGTTTTGCTGATAAGAAGCCACAAGCTGGGGCTCTCAGGAGCGCAGAGCACTCAACGCCCCCGCCCCAACCTCCCAGCTGTGGGGAAGCTCTGTATCAGGCCATGTTAGGCGAAGGGTCCAGGTGCCACTCGAGGGGGCAGGAATAAGGCCACACATGTCATGAGGCGGACAGCAGGAGGTCCCCTCTGCCCCCTGGGGACCATGTCACCTCAGCGTCCTGTCCAGACCCCCTCCAGGCAGCACTGCCTTGCATTAGGCATAAGAAGGCGGCCAGGGTCTCCAGCCACCAAGCCGATCCAGCTGCCAGTGTTTTTCTTGCCTCTGCCCACTTTTCTATTTCAGAAACAATGGAATGTCTAACTTGGTGAATTCCACTGCTTAACAGAAATTTGCTTTTAATGTCTAAACTCTCTGAAGATTAGAGTAGGAATAGGGAAATGTGGGAAAAGCAGTGCCTCTTGGGAACACACACACACACACACAGACAAGTCTTTTGTACTTCAGACACTCCTCCCAGCTTCACTGACCATAGGCTCTTGTCTGGAATCTTAGGAAATGGTTAAGCCAAGAATTTCAGTTGTGAATATTTCTGCAGTGATTTCGTCTGGAAGTTCTTCTTCAAAGCAAATTTCTGAACCTAGCCAAACAAGAAAAGAAAACAAATGCTTACACAATGATTAGCTTTTCTACCTCAGAAGCATTTTCCAAAAATACGAGGAAATGATGCTCAGCAGAAGTGAGAGGGACTCTGGGCTGGGGTTTGGCTCTGATTCCTTGAACACCGTTGGGTGGGAATCGGTTAAAACCCCTCCTTTATGGGTTGGGTTTGGAGCACCGTTACCCAAATCCCCGCACACTTCATTGGAAAGCTTCAACTACACGGCGTCTTTGATTTTACTGTTTTGAGACACCTAGGAACACTGTGTGTGTGTGTTTATTTATATTTATACATATAAAACAATTTATTTGTACCCACGTGAAACAATCGGGAAAGTT